TGTGTGTGTGTGTGTGTGTGTGTGTGTGTGTGTGTGTGTGATTTGAATGATTGAGTAGAACAAATCGAAGATGCGCATAATATTTATTTACCGAGCGCTTTCGGGAAGAATCCATGGTGTGATAAAAGCGCTCACCATCGGGATCGCGCTGACATAGGCGAAGAATTTCCAGTTTGCGACGTAGTACGCGATCCATGGTAGAACTGTGCTTCCAACGGCAAAGTATATGCCGAAGGCAACGTTAACGACGAGAGTTCGCCTGTTCACAGCCATGTACTCGAGCACTGGCGAGATTAAAATTCGGGATTTGATTTATTACTTATATAAAAAATTACTTATTTAGAAGTTCTATTTAACAGATTAATTAATAGTATACGTGGTACGTTCAATTCATAGCTTATAGCTTACGTAAAAGTTAACAACAAAGTTACGTACAGAATGAATTGTGCGCCGTAACATTCACGCCTATAAATATTCATAAAACGCGTCACCGATCGAATACAATGATCTTTCATCTCCGTCGAGCTTTCCGGGTACCTACTACTGCACGTAATACCATTCTTTGTAATGAAAACTATGTATGGACACGTGCGCGCGTTATTGCCGTAGAGAAGATCCGCAGTCCAGATTTATGTGACATGTAGAAAAATTTAGAAAAATGAAAAATGTGACCGCGTATCTTTGCATGTAATTTTGAACGGAACGTCGGAATAGATTCTCTTATTTAGTGCCGCGAGCGACGCGTACGATCCTCGCACGGCCGATCATCTCTTGTCGATCGCTCACCGATAATCAACGGAATGTTGATGCAGTTGTCGAAAGCCAGACCGGTAAAAAATCTGCAGACGGCAAAAGACAAGAAGGTATTCGCACTCGCAGTTGCGGCCGAGGCCAGGAACCCGATGCCGTTGCAGAGGATCAAGGCGGGAATCCGGCCTCTGTGGTCGGCGATCCATCCGAAGAGCAAACCGCCTACAATGGAGCCGCAGAAGAAGATCGACTGTGCCGTCGATATGAGGTATTCCTGGTCACATACCCAATCTAGCTAATCACAAAGGATCCAGAATCAGTGCGCGAGGAATGCAACGTTCGTCACATTTTTGCATACGGGGAGTTATGCGGATTTATCTTTATCTTATTTCTCTATCTTTCGTCACTTATTCGCATATTATTATTCTGAAATGGATTACGATTAAAATTATGCGAGAAACGTAACGCTATATTTGTGTATTTACGTAAATTGATTTCTTTTATTTCTTCATCTCTCGTCGTTTATTCGCATATTATCGGTCTGCGGATTACGATTGAATTAAATTACGAGGAAGAAATCGCGCGTAATCTCAGTTAATCGCTCGACCGTTTAAACAAGAGTACTCGTGAATTTTGACTCTCTTTGTCTGTGTCTTTTGTATATTTTATACGCACAGCGATGCATTCAAGGATACTTCACCTCAGCTGCTATACTGGCGTACGGGATCTGCGTGAAATTGTATTCCCAGTGGCTGCAGTCCACGGATTTGTTTGCCTTCAATTCGACCGAACGAATGTCCTTCCCGTGACTTAGAATAACGGAAAAATCCAAATCCCTCCTATGGCATTGGTCATAGTACGGATAATTCTGCGACTTTGGTACGCCGATCTTCACTCTGAAAACATTGACCTCCAAATATACGAAATATATCTCTTCAAAGACAGAAGATAACAAAAAAATAATAATACGTCAAGAGAAAAAGGAAACGATTTAAACAATTAATCGACTTTTACAACAACTCGACTGTTTTACAATCCAAAATTATTTTGATAAATTACAGGATTTATAATGTTTAATATAATAATAATAATAATAATTAAGTTATGTAATATAAATGTAAATATATAGATATATGTTATTTAAAGCATGATAAAATATATTATTTTGATTTATAAGATCTTAATAAGTAACATTGTTGCGGAAATTTTACCTTTCTTCCCGCGTAAGGTTTAAAGGGATCAGTTCCTCTATCTTGCACCAATGCTCCTGCGGCACCAGGGTGAGGAAGAACTGCGAGAAGTATAAAGTGGCGTAAGCCACGCTGTAGGGAAGCAAGGCCAATAGAAGCAGCCACTGATATCTGCCAAAATCACCGACGTACGGCAAGACATCGTCGAAGGTCTCCAACTTCGGCCTCGGTGTGGTGTTTTCGTTCGGATCTACGGTATCTGTGGGGTTCTTCATGCCGTTTGAGTTCTTCATCGTTCTAAGGGATGCCAATATTTGATACGCTAGATTTACACTCAGCAAACCAAGTTGAGGAAAAGAAAAAAAAGAAAGGAAAATAGAGACGGTTTCATCAACCAAAAGTAACTCAAACTAAAAGAAAAAACTTTTAAAATCGCTCGGAATATTTTAATTTGAAACTAAAGAGAAAGGCTTGATGGTTCAAAAAATGTCTATAAAGAAAAGAGTAATATAAACTAACTATATAATATATAATTATAGATGCAAAGTTGAAGCTGGTAGACAGTGTATTTTTTTTACAAAAAGATCGCAATATTTGTTGTTCCGGCGAAAGAAACCCGACACAATTTAGCGTTCTTCTCCTATAATATTATTTATAAGTAATAAAGTGCGCGCGATTTAAGGAGGTTCGCCTACTATACTTTAAAGTCAAAAATGCGATTGAATAATAATGTCATTACAGCGATTCCGAATTATATGCAATATTAGTATAATGAATTGTGGATGCTAGTTATGTGCTATATTTTTCGTAAATTATTAGTGTTTAGAATATTAACAAATATATGCCGAAGTATGAGAGCGTCAACGACTCGGGAATCGTTGTCAGGTATATACATACCCTGCGTTCGAAAACTTTACTTGGGTGCACACCGCGTCATTCTATCTTTGTTATTTACTAAAAGTTGAACAAGGACAGAATGATGCTGGTGTGCATCCGAGTGAAATTTTCGAACGCAGCCTTATTATCCAACATTATAAAGTAAAAGAAAAATTACAAATAATTTATAAAAACCTATATAAACAATTGACAGAGAATACTAAAGACTTAAAATGATAGTAATCCTGCTCAGTACGAGAGAAACCACAGGTTCGGGCATTTGGTTCACGCACTCGGTCGAGCGGCTGGTGGTGCGAAGCTATCATCCGTGGGATTATGCCTGAACGCCTCTAAGGCCGTATCCTCTCTAGTCAAAGGTGGCAATGATATCTCTAGGAGTCTCGTGAGTCGAAAGGCTCAAAACAATGTGACACACTACTAGGCGGCCGGTCCTCGCGGGCCGGTCGTCGCACGAGCCCGGTTTGCCGTGTACGGCGCCTCTGCCCGTCGTCGGGATCTCACCGCTTACGACGGCACGGCGCCGGCGTCTAACGCTCGAACATGAGTTTCGCGAGTTCGATGTCGAGACTCGGAATCGTCTGTAGACGATTTGGGTACCAAGCCGTTTTTTGCAATATGGTTCAATAATAATGCAAAAAATTACATGAATTTTAATAAAAAATAATTATTTTAGTGTAAAACAAATGTTATCCGACCTGTGCACAATATTAGATAACTTTGCGCGTCAATAAAAAAAATCAGCGTTTGTCGTACGAAAAAAATACAAGGGTCCTTTTTTGTTGCAAATTTTGTCCACAACAAGATGCATACGATAAAATTCATCTCAAATAAATTCTAAGGCCTAAAAACAGCGAAAAACTAAGACTATTCCAAAAAATTAAAATTTTTTGCTTACATACCTACAAACTAAAGAAAAAGGGTCTAAAAAATCTGTTACACCATGAAAAGTATTCTTTGTAGTTTTCAGATAATGTGTGATTTTTGGGGGATTTTTAATTCTATTTTAAATGACGGAAAAAATCACTGGCGCAACATCAAAAAAACGATGAAATCGAGGGTTTTTGGGATCCGAGTCTCGGACTTTGACGGCGCGTGCAAGCTAAACGACTGACTTGACGATAAATGTTGTTCAGATCATTATTGTAGATAATTTTACGCTCTACAAAAAAGGTACGTATAGTTAGTTACCTTATCTTGCTTAGTTTTCGAGATATTTGAGAAAAAATAAAAAAAATCGCGTTTTTTGTTGATAATATTGTTAATAACTTTTTATTGCGCGTTAATTTTGCGAAGCAAAATAAATCCCACTTATAGCACCTCAAATCAAAGCGATTCATGGTGGTTGCAACCTGGGAAGATTAATTGGAAGGTTCGATGTCTAATATGACTAGCCTAATAGCGAAGAGATGCAATGTCGCGACATTTCTCTTGTACGAATGTTAACTGAAGTCAAATCTTGAACTGTTTACATTTATCAGTAGATAAATTGATACATAATTGAATGAAAAGTTACATTATAAAACCAGTAATTATATAAGTGTTTAGAATATATCCATGAAATGGATGGTTTTTCTTAAATAAAAATTTAGGCCTAGCTTATACGGTACTAACCAAACCACCTTAATTTGCCACATTACGATCCGTGAGATCACTCGACTTTGTTGTTTTATCATTTCCATTCTAATTAATATTCTTAAGCTTGTAATGTAAAATTAGAAATACAGAGATAAATAAAATGTTTATAATAATATAAGGTCAAGAAAATGATTTGAGTTTAAACTGAATTTATTATAAAGAAACTAGAAAATTATGTTATTATGTGAAAATTAGAAAAACGTTCAGCGGTCCACTGGATTAGAATGTGGCGAGGGTGGCGAGCTAGGGCTTAACTAAATCGAGTAAACATCGAATATAAAAATAAGCGGACTCTGTGCTTCTGTTACAATCAACTTGTCCATGCAGCTTAAGCGTATCCTAGTGGAAATGTCAAATGACAACTTGAGTGGGAGCGATCTGAGCAGCCAGTGTTGTCCGAACGTGACGGGATCAAGTGGCTCGTGACGCGCGTCTCGATCGAGATAATGAAGATCAAGCACAAGTTTGACAACTCAGGGCACGATTAACGATGTTGGATAACGTCGCTTTTATACCCACTTAATATGACAATGATAATGCAAATAATATCAGATATTACGTAGATAAATGTATCGGCATCATATCGAAGGATGTTGAAAATATATAATAAGAATATTTAGGCGTTGAGAATTTCGGGAACGTAGTACCTACTAAATTAACTCGTTTAAGGGTCCAGGAGGCCCCTGCGCGCTTTTCTGTTTTAATTCTTTGTAACGTGAGTCCTAATCAAAATTTTAGAGCACAATTAATATTCAGGGGCAAAAAATTTACTCTTTCCGAAAATCTAATCGGTGATAGGGTGGGATATCTGATAAAAGATGTAAAGGTTGAAAGTAAAGGTAAAAAAATAAGTAACCTCTACGGTTTTAATGACAAATATTCAACTAATAAATGATTTCGTCTACCTTTTTAAGTAAAATAAATTGATATAATTATTAGTTGAATGATCTATAACAAAAATTCCGCTCAAAAAAGTAGACAAAATCATTTATTATTTATTATAGTTGAATATTTGTCAGTATATACATATAGGTCAGTAGATAGAAGTAACTTACTTTTTTTACCTCTACTCTTTCAACCATTATATGTTTTTCTTCAGATATTCTAACTAGATTTTCGAAAAGAGCAACTCTTTTTACCTCTAAATATCAATTGCGGTCTAAAAATTTTGATTAGAACTCGAGTTACAAGGATTTGAAATAGAAAAGCGTGTAAAGACCTTCTAGGACTTAATGGGTTAAACCTGTTATAGGATTTTGCTAAATCCCGAATCCTTTTATTTAAGTAATTTAAATGTAATATGTAAATGGCTTTTAGATGCTTAATATCCTATCATCTATTGGCACTGTAAGCAAATTATAAATAGCTTATATAACGTTGAAATGCCATTAAGGCTCTTATCCACTCATTACAGCTTGGATTGGTGACATCACAACCGAGAAAATTTGTCATAAAAATTCTTGCAACGTACATTAAGATAAAAATGTTTTCCAATAAAATAATTGTTTGTAATCGGAGGAATAAACGGTAATTCTTTACAATAGGGCCTTTTCCGAATTTTGATATTTTCTTGCGGTTCTCTTGGTAAAAAACTTTTGTTGTGACTCCGACAGTAATAATTATTTATACCTATTTTTTCCAACATGCCGGAATACACACACACACACACACACACACACACACACACACACACGCGCGCGCGCGCGCGCGCGCGGAAAAGTGCAAGGGGGGGCCTTCGGCTCTCCCTCCCGCACCCATTTCCGCCGGTAGGCAGCGTGGACCTCGCTTTACAACTGAAAGTAGGTACATGCTAAGGCTGCGGTCCGATTCACGCTCACAGCGCTGAAAGCATCGCTCGCTCTTATTTACAATGCTGTGAGCGTAAATTGGACGGCAGCCTTAGCATGTACTTTAACTTGTAAAGCGAGGTCCACACTGCCTACCGGTGGAGGTGGGTGCGATAGGGGGGCCGAAGGCCCCCCTTGCACCCCCATCACCCCCCACGCGCGCGTATGTGTGTGTGTGTGTGTGTGTGTGTGTGTGTGTGTGTGCCCCTTTTACACATAAATACCGTTGTTTGTTATAATTTTATTCGTCGCGTAGTACATTCCTCGTTTCAGGCTATTCTACAATTGCGTAAACGTGGTCGTAAGTAGTTGTAAGAGTGTTGTACGGCGTGGTTGTAAAGCGGTACTGCGGTTGTAAAGCGTGTTGTGGAAGATGGTTGAACTTCATCTTTCACGACTACGTCAGATGTGAACGTAAGAGCCAACCAATCAGAGTGCACTCGAAATACACACTGTACTCTGATTGGTTGCTTTAATCAAGTTTACAATGTATTTACAATGTATGTTTACATGTAATATTACAATGTATGTACTCTAATTGTAGATTGATCCGTTGTATAAGATTCACGACTACTACTACTTCTACTCCTACAACTCTACGTTTACACAATTGTATAGAATAGCCTTTCTTCCTTTCCTCCCGCTTCTACTCGGCTTTATGAAAACAACAGTACAAGACATTGACTGCTGTATTTGGATAATAGAGAATATACCGACACTTTCTCTCAGTATACGAACGGAGATAATCGGTCCTTTTAAGGGCCACTATATTTATAACGTCGGAAAATCCGGAAAGTCATGTTGAAAAAAACAGGTAAAAAAAGAAGGTAAAAATAGGTTAAAAAAATAGCTAGGGTACATATTTTTCGGGCTCCCCCGATTGATTATGTCGGATGTCGGAGTCACAACAAAGGTTTT